TCAACTACTATAACACCATTTAGATAACCTTTTGTTAATGTTAATGTTAAAACACAAGATAATTTATTAAACAACAAATATGTAAACATTAACATACAAAATTATAAAAACATTGTTTGCCCAGCATAAATGAATTAATTCTACAAAATGACAACATATAAAACAAGTGACAACCTGATATATATTAAAATAAATTAATTACCTTGAGAACCTTTGTTAAAATCAACCTTTATTATATAATTGACTTTTGTCTAAATGTATTGTTCACTTGTATAAGAAACCTACAACAAAAAATATGACATTATAACTTTCATTTAGAGGACAACAAAATTGTTAAAACACAAAAAAATACAAACAAACAAAAAACAAACAACAACAGTGAAACCAAATTAGGTAACTATCAATACATTAAGTAAAAAAAAAAATGTATATATTGAAGAGCATGTACATTAATTGATATATGCATATGTAAATTGTGCCAACTGAAAATTATTACATTTAATCTGCATTGCTGGAGGAGCTCAATTCTATCATCTCCGTTTTGTCTCTCTTTCTATGAACGTGAAAATTTAAAAAAGGTTACTCCATAATGGATTGTTCCAAGTAAATGAATAAATGCTAAAAAGTTCAATGCTGATTCACAAGGGAGATACAAATAAGCATTAATTACTTTTTAAATGTGCAGCAGGATAATTGCTGCTCCTTGAAATCTGTACTCTCTGAGAAGGATTTAGATCTCCAAGTTGATAAACTGAAAGAAAAGGAAATACAAACAAGAGATTAGATCACTACAATATATAATAAATACTGAGTGTAAAAGTCAACAGATCTGCAGCAAACTACATACATTTCAGTCCGTTTCTTTCACTAAAAAGCACATTGGTTGTATGGACTTGTAGGGTACTTTTTAATGCTTTTTGTATTTTGAAAGTACGTATCATCCACTTTAATCTAGAAAAAGAACAACTACAACATTCTTTAAAATATCTCCTTTTGTGATAGGGGGTAGAAACGTTTTTCAATAACGTAATGGTCAGTAAAAGATAAAAAATTAATTTTGGGTGAGTTATCATTAAACTCACTTGATTTTTTTTCAGCTTATTATCTGGATGAGCCTGTTCCATTGCTGACTTTCCTATTTCATTCCCAGACAGATGCAGCTTACTCAATTGTGAGTGGTTTGATGTCAGAGCAAAAATCAGAGCATCGCAACCTTAATCTGTGACACCACAGTCATTCATCCAGCAGAAGGAATAAAGACACATCCTCACTGTTCAGGATTCTCAGACACATTTGTGATGTCGGAGTTTGACTTGCAGAATAATTCAAGTGCTGTGACTCTACCCCAGTGTTTCTAGTTTACAGTGAGGACTCTCCAGTGCAGTAGACAACAGCTCCAGCCCTCAGTCTCCTATGACATTCTTAAACTGCACAACCTTCATCTGAGATAATTACCTAGACTGCAGAATGAGAAATTACACTTTCATTTAAGACAGAGCTTATTTCAGCATTTCTTTTTGTTTTATGCAATATTTTAAGTCTTATTTGGATGATTTCAACTAGTATGTTTATGTAATATAGGCACATTTAATTATTTAATCTGCATTTTATTCCTCTTTAATTATAATAATACATTTCATTTATAAGCACCTTTTTCAGCACTCAAGGACACCGCAGAATAAATTTACGAACAAGACAATAAAAAGCAAACAAGAAATATCATGTACAAAATACTAAAACAGAATAAAGTGGGACTGGACAAATACAGTTTAGGTGAGGTATGCAATCTTAAACAAGTGAGACTTAAAGGGTTAGTTCACCCAAAAATGAAAATTAGGCTGCGTTTTACTCACCCCCTCCGAATCCAGTCGGGGTTATATAAAAAATTGTCTTTGATCTTTCAAGCTGTTTAATGCCACTCAGCGGGTGTTGCATTGCTTCCGTCCAAAAGAACTTCGGAAAAAAAAAAAAAAATCGCCCATCGAAAAAAAAAAAGTGTCTCATACGGCTCTGGGGGGTGAACAAAGGCCTTCTGCAGCGAATCTATGTATTTTTGTAAGAAAAATATCCATATTTAAAACGTAATAATCACTTGAATCTAGCTTGCGCTCACTGTTGTAAACAGAAGCAGTTCCGGTGGGAACGACGTATAACACTCATTGCCTTCTCTAGTGCATCTCAACCAGGTCTCGTCCCATTCGTTGATATTTGTGATATCACAAATCCTGGAAAATATGCGTTGTAAATCCAAATGAGTCGTTCGTTGTAGTTTTTGAAAAGTGATTTCTGTTAAATAATATATCTCCTTTTGAAGTGGACTCTGAACTTTGTAACTTTGCAGATCTTTTTTTTATGCTCAAACAGTAACATTACAGACCAACTAAAGTTGAAAAAGTGAAAAAGCATAATAGGACCCCTTTAAGAAAAATATTGCCCAGAGGAAAAAGGTGAATGATGAAAAGAAGGTGTCCCAGGACAAGGCCCTGAGGCACACCAGTGTTAACAGGGGAAGGTTAGGAACTAAAAGATTGTAACTGGACGAACTGAGTGCACCCTGAAGATAAGATTTAAACCAATCTAAAAGGAGTGTGAGTGATGCCAATATAGATGAGTCTATTGAGAAGGATAGTGTGAGAAATGGTTCGTACAGGTTGTTACAAGTTAAATGAAAGTGAAGCAGAGTAGCAACGATTTTTTCAAGAATTTTGGAAAGGAAGGGTAGATTAGAGATGGGACGGAGATTATTGAAATTGTTAGGACAAAGAGTCCTAACAAAGAGTTACAAAAGGCTGATGAGTACAGATGAGGGGGTAGGGAACATGGGAGTCTAGATATATTAACAACATGGGGGTCTAGAGATATTATTAAAAAGTGAGAACAATGTCTTAGAGTTACCTTCATTAGAACAGATCACACCAGATTAATAACTGAAGGGTTAGTCACTGAATTTTAGTTTTAATTTATTTTACTCTTAAAAGGTAATTTCCAGCACTTTTCATGATAGCTTTTAAAATTAAGGCCAGGGGCCTCATGTATAAAACTTTCCATAGATTTCATCCTAAAAGTGTACGTACACACAAGCTAGATTTGGTACTCCAGAACCTGCACAAAAATCATTTTTTAAATCCCTGTCAGCGGAAGATTTGGCGTACATGCATCTCCTCCCCAAAAATCACCATATATGGAGCTTACAAAGCCTAGTTTTACGATGCATAACCTCATCTGCATGTAATTTCCATGCATAATTTCCATTTTTAACATGGTTAAGGGTACAATATGTTAGGAAAATTGGAGGACTATAAATGAGTTTTGAGACATCACTATTCTAATCTATGCAATTTGCCTAGGAGGTAAACATTTTGTTTATAGCCTATATTTTTATGGAAAAAGATAGGCCTTATTTTTTTTTCAGTGTAAATGGCTGTTTGACTCATCGCGTCAATAAAACATTTAGAAAAGAGTTTCCTTCAAATTCTATCTTTTAAATATGGGGCGTCGTCACAATATTTGGAAGAGCACGAAAGGGGTTATCATTAGGCTGCTGTCTGTGCGCGACACCTGTGAACAGAGGTTACACTCATCGAACCTTTTCAAACCAGCCAATGGACTGTTTGATCAACGAGCGCATCCTTATGTCTGTCTTTACCACTTGTTCCAAAGCCATCAGACAAAGTCAAGTTCACATCAATGATCGTGCAAAAGTATTTTCTCAGAACATGAGTTTTGCCATTTAGAACAATTTAAAGTGGAATTGTCATACACCAAGCAATCCTCACTGTGATTAAAACATTTAACACAGGAGAACCATTTGAAAGCAGCACATGCACTGCAAATATTCGTTTAAATTAATATAGAAATGGTTTAATTTCTGGATAATTTCATTAAATTTCAGTGCTTAACTTCATTATTCATAGTGTCATATTTAATCTAAATGTGTATGTCAAATGTAAAACAGACTTTAAAATCATTGTTTGCGTCCTTATTTCGCTCACTCCAGTAAAAGAGTGCGTAGGCATGGTCTAGACTCTAGAGCAGGGTTCCTCATATCTTGCCCTGGAGGTCCAATGCGCTGCAGAGTTTAGCTTCAAACTCAGCTACCTGTGATTTTCTAATGATCCTGAAGACATTGATTAGCATGCTCAGGTGTGTTTGATTAGGGTTAGAGCTAAACTCTGCAGGAAAGTGGATGTCGTGGGCCAGATTTGAGGATCCCTGCTCTAGAGTGTCCATACCGTGTGCACATATTTATGCCAAATTAATTTTTTTTATAAATCCCGATATGTGCACAGAAATTTGCGTTGCAACGTTTATACATATCAGGCCCCAGATGATTTGGCCAGAAATATGACAACATTTTTTCCATATATCAATATGTAGTCACGGTATTCATTAAATAAAATCAGCTGAATAAAGGAGAACATGTCTTTGAGTTTGTATAGACAATGTATGGAGCAGAGATGCCCAAACCAAGGCCTGTGCACCAAAGTTGCCCATGAGCAAATGAGCATAGGTTCAGTTTAAAATTTGTTTTAGCACTTCTTTCACTCATTGAAATTTAGAGAGACTATAAGAACTGAATTAGATTTTAAGAGGGGGCGAAGAGAAAAAAGAAAAAAAAAAAAAGAATTAATTCTGATATGAAACATCTACTTTTGGCCCTCTGCCCTGAATCAAAGTCCCTGTAGTCTTCGTCTGAATCCAGTTTGATTTTTAGATCTTCATAGTGAAAAGTTTGGGCACCTTTAGTATATACACTGGATCTTACTCGGAAATGCATCCATGCATGTTCATCAGAAATCTTTACATACTCTTGAAAACTTGCCAATATATATATGGAATCCAAAAACTTACATTTTATGGTGAATCTTATGATTTTATTTTAGAAATTCAATATACTATGGTCGGCAAATCAAAAACCAAGATGTTCTTTGCTGGTTGCTGCCATACTGGGGCTTTGTGCATGCCGAATCAAGAACTTACGCTAAACACTACACAATTTTGGAGAAAGATTTCAGAAGTGTATTTTAATGTGCACAATTTCAATTCGTAAAAATGCAGTAACAAGATCAGACTAAAAGCATTGAGTTTACACCAAAGCATCATTCTAAACCCAATACATACAAATTTACAACTCCTATATTAGATGGAAATCTGTGTGAGCGAAGTCTTTCCAGGTTTGTTACACACTGTAATAAAAGCATGCGACAAGTAATAGGTTAGCCACTGATATTTAACAGAATGTGATGTTGGCAATGTCGATGAAGGTACCACAATTATATGCATACACATGCACTCACATACCATGTAAAGAAGTCTTGAGCCGGCCAGGATGATATAACCACAGACATCATAGTGGAGTTTCTTCCATCAGAAGTTGTCATATCATCTGCAGTGACTCCATTAAAGTTGCCACAAGCACCACAAACTTTGTCTGTCAGGTCTCTGCTAATGGATAGCACAATCCCTTCAGTGTGAATGTAAGTCAGTCTCATGGCAGACATTTTCTCAATGATCACAGCCTCATTTGTGTATGAGACTGACACCCCCTCTTTAGGCATGATGGGATAGGAGACCTTCTTTCCATTCACCTGTTTTAATGAGAGAAATACTTTCTCAGCGGTTTCATGTCAAAATGCACTAAATCTTTAAACCAAAACGAATTAAGTCCATTAATTCAACATTCCACTGACCCAGCTATGCCTGTAATTGTTGACTGTGATGATCATGTCCTGGAAGAAGATGTGGACCATTGTCACATTACCGGAACCATTCCTAGCACATGCATGTACATCTAACACCACACGGAACCAGTCAGGAGACTCTTGATCACATAAGAAAGCCATTTGAAAGGCTCCCGGCCGCTCCACCATCCCCTTCACACCATCAAAGGACTGCAACTGGTCATTGGCATCAAATACACAGTGGCCTTGATCAGTGTAACAATCTCGCTGACCATCCCGAACTTCACAGATCTCTCCTCTGGCACAGGTTTGGCTCACACACTCAAGCAGCCCAGTGGCACGACACACACACTTCATGTTGCAGGTGTAAGTCATTAAGACTTCACCAACCTAAAAGGAGTAGAGAAAATAGTTATATGGATAAGATTACGGCTAATTATAAGTAGAATAATATAAATTCTTATGTTGCAGAAATGGTGCATTTCAGCTTGAACAATGTTTTACGTTAGTAAAAATATTCTAAACCATGGATTTAAGAAAATTCATGAAATAATTCTGAAAGGCATCTAGAATGGCTGCCATTTAATCAGGAGAATCAGAACTTCTAAAGTCTGTGGCAAAAGCTTGTTTTCAAAAAAAAAAAAGGGGGTGGAGAAGCAGCTCATATTAGACCATAATCATTTTTATCATTATCGATATTTATGAAAAGCATTAATTCTCACCTTTAGGTATTTGCCATTATGGACACATCCACAGTCTCCCACAGGTACACACGCGTCACCATCTGAGAGCAAACCTTCATCACACTGACAGCCTTCCATGCAAATATCTGGGCAGTTGTTAATGGTCCTGCTGAGGCTGGCACAGGTATTGGCACAGTTATTAGAGCACTGTGAATAGTGACCGTTAGCTGGACAGTCCACCGCTTTAAAAAAAAAAGCAACATGCGGTTATTTAAAAAACCTTAAATATTTTGAAATTATAGTTTAAAATTACAGGAGTCAACTACATTTTAAAATGAAGTTGAAATTTCAGCAGCCATTAATAGTCTGTCACATGATCCTTCAGAAATCATTCTAATATGCCAAATTGGTGCTCAAAACACTTAAGTTTCAATGTAAAAACAAAGACAAATCATAAAAGGCTTAACTTACAACAGAATGAACCATTTCTCCATGGCATGATTTGTATCCCGGCTTGTTGGCAGATAATGGCATAAGCCTGAAGATTTTCACACAGCATCGCTCTGTCTCCATCCATGACACACATGTCAAATACACAGTTAATCACATGTTGCTCAGGATTCACTTGATCATGACAGGCACTGAACGGACCAGTGACAGCTGCCATAAGGCCACAGGCATCACCTCTGCGGTAACTCTCAGCTTTGGTCTGATCGCACTGCTGCGGGGAACTTGCACCTCCGCTCTGAACACCAGTTCCTGGCAATGCCCACGCCTGTCCGAATGCATTGACACTGGTGCTTTGTGTGCCATTGGGCAACAAGAAGTCATCTGCTGGGTTGCCATTGTAGTTTCCACACAGTCCACACATGTGGCCTTGATAGTTTGAGGGTACATGGACTTCTGCGTGGTAACTGGCGTCATACAGAACTCTCAAGCCAAAATCGGTTTGCACTTGGACACTTTGACCAACCCGGTTAATGGTGACTTGATGGCCAAAAGATGAAGGGAGGGTGACAATTTCATTGTTCACCTGTCAAAGAGAACCAACAGCAACATTTCATCTTAATTTTTCTATTATCGCCACGTACATTACGCATTTTTCACCAAGATTTTCTTAATGTATACAAATGAAGAAATTAAGTTACCAACTTGTTAATTTCTTAATATGTAAAAGTTAAGAATCTTATACTTGGTCAAATAGTTTAATTTTTATGCTCACCAAGGTTGCATTTGATCAAATACTGTAAAACTATTATGAGATTACTAAGAAATACTTATGTTTTTAATATTTTAAAAATGTATTCCTGTGATGGCAAAGATGAATTTTCAGTAGCCATTACTCCAGTCTTGTCACAAGATACAACACATTTTTTTCTATATAGGTTGACAACAGCTGAGCAGCTTAATAGTTGTGGAAACTGATATATACACACACATTAAGATTTATTGAATAAAAATGACAATTTAATATAAGTGATCAGTTTAATCCTTGCTGAATAAAATTTACAATTTCTTACTCAAAAAAAAAAATCTGAGGCGAAGACTTACGATGGCTTTCCAGCGTTCACCTCGTTTGATGCGGATTGCCAGGTTGTAAACAGTCACAGTCAAGGTCTCGATGAGAGAAACCCCTCGGTTTCCAATCTGCTCATTCTTGGAGTGCACAGAAAAATTCACCAGCCATCCTTTGCCCTGATCAAACACCTTAGCGAGTGTATAAACACTTGTGCCTTGAAAGTCAAAAATTCTGCCATCAAAAGAAAAATAGTGAGGGTCACCAGTCGCCACACATCTTCCATAACTGACAGGGTGGCATCCCAATACTCCATCCACCACCCTGCAAGCTTCTCCTGGAGCACAACTTGATTTCTGGCAGGAAACCGTTCCATTTCGCCCACACACGCAGCGCTCCAAGCATTGCTCATGGGTGTAAAACATCTGGTGTTTGTTATAATAGCGTCCCCGATAGAAGCAGCCACATTCTGCTTGTGGCACACAGGTTTGGCCGCTCAAAATGTAACCCCGATCACACTGGCAAGCCTCAGCACAGGGTCTGCTGCAGTTGTGCACCGAGAGATTAACGCAGGTCTCGGTACAGCCTGGAGCACAGGGGTTGTAGTGGCTGTTGGGTGGGCAGGATGGAGCTGTGATAGATCAGAGACAGTATTCATTTTTATTTCATTCAGTTTGTCTTTTGACCAGTGTTGTTGACAAACTACCAATACAATTTCAGTAACGGAAATACAATGAACTTTTCAGTATTTATTAAAAGAGAATATAAAAGGTGTACTTAAGCCTAAAAGAATAGTTCACCCAAAAGAGAATTTACTAATTTTGTTCCAAACCTGTATGCATATTTCTTCTGCATAAAATATATTTAAGAATATTGCGTTTGACTCATTGAACAGCAAACAAATTCACCCGCATGGGACACACACACACCAAGAGCTCAGGTTTTCAAAACAAGCTTTATGTAGCACACAACCAAAAAAGAAAAAGGTAAGTTACTTACGGCAGAATGTAGCATTTCTCCACGGGTAAACCGTGACATTTTGACTCTGACAAGCAGATGCATAGGCTGCCACTGCGTCACATAACACAGCCTGATGTCCTTGGAAGTGGCAGGTGTCGAATATGCAATCCTCTAGGTAAGATCTGGGATCAATCTGAGCATGACATTCTCTGAAAGGCCCTGTCCGGTTTGTGATGATCTCACAGTAGCGCTGGGCGTTCTCCCTCTGGGTCGCAGTGCAGGTTGAGCATCCAGCACCAACACAACCAGCGGAGGAACAGCCAGGTGTTGCAGCAACCTGCCAGCTCTGTCCCAGACTACTGGCATTGGGTGCCATCATACCATTGTGCATTGCAAGGTCATCCTGAGCAACACCGTTGAAGTTTCCACAGAGTCCACAGACTGCACCACTGTAATTCTTAGGCAAAGTGACGCTCACCACATTGGACCAGTCAAAGGTCACCTGGAGACCAAAGTTTGTCTTCACAACAGCAATGTTACCACTCCGGACAACTACAAACACATCTTGCATCAAAAGAGGAAGCTCTGCTAACTGGCCATCAAACTAAAAAGAGAAAAAAAAAAAAAAAAAAAAAAAAAAAAAAAAAAAACACACACACCATTACTACCACAAAAGAGCTCATATTTCAGGTTATACAGTATCAAACACTCTAGGTTAGGGCACAATCTGAATACAGCCCATGAGACACTTACACCACAGAAAACATCTTTAATATTATATAAAAACAAAATAACAAAAAGCTTAAGTTTAATACTATTGTACAGTGAAAATTGAGTTAAAGTTACAATAAGTAGTTAAGACTGCTATTAATATTGGTAATGCTTCAAATATTTAAATTAGTTTTTTTTTTTTTTTTAGAAGTGTTTTTTTCCTTCTCCAGTTTAACAAATTATATTTTGAAGAATGTAACTAAAATAGTTAATGATGGCTACTGACTTGCATACCGGCTACCAGCATATGTTTGGTTAACATTCAAAATATCTTGTGTTCAAAAGGAACAATTCATTCAGGTTTGGGAAACCGTGGGGGGGGTGAGTAATTTTTGGGTGAACTACCCCTTTAACCAAGTTTGTTCATCGACCACCAAGTGTACCATTCATGGATTTATCTCCCTAAAAGTACAAACACTGAGCCTACTGGGCACCATCAAATCTGAGATCGGTCCGCTCAAATTGGTCAATCACTTTCCAACTCAACCAGTAGGGAGAGTTTGATACTGTAGCAGGCTGAGCCAGAGGGTGTTTAGCCGTTGTGGGATCATGGCTGATGCGTTACAAGAGGAAAAGAAAACTGGCCCATTTTTGGACCATGGTTGATGCGTTACAAGAGAAAAAGAAAATTAGCCAATATTTGCTTGCAGAAGTGCAAGCTAAAATTCCAAGACTAACCAAGATGGAGAGAGACTGGGTTTTAATTGAGATGCCAAACTTGTAGTTTCCTTCTTGATAGGTAAGCTAATATGTTGGACCTTTTATTGAAAGCAGCCTACAGAGAAATGCCTTCAGTTTTATAGACCTGTAAGAGCGGAGATTGTAACGTCTAAGGGGGAGGCACAACACTTGAAATGAGTCTTTGCAAAAGGTGGTTTGCTAGTATCTCTTAGCGAAATTACAAAAAGAATTTTCAGAGAAGAAACATACTTCACCTTTAAACCACCGAGCTATTATTTTAGTGGAAAACCACTGGGAGACCTTAAAGCTTCCATTGTTAAAACTATTCTCAATACAAATTTGAGACTTGGCACGCAATTTTTAGGCTAATTTTCCCACTAAATGTATCAGTAAGTTTCAAGCTGTATGTGAAACTGTTTTATAGTTGATTCACTTCAAAGAGCCACCTCACGAATGCCATTAGCAATAAGACTTCAGCAGTGTCATAACACCATCTACTAACAGCATGATATTGACAGTGGCACGGTAGAGTACACTCTTAAAAATAAAGGTGCTTCACGATGCCATAGAACCTTTTGGTCTAAATGGTTCCATAAAGAATCTTTGTTTCACAAAAGGTTCTTCGTGGCAAAAGAAGGTTCTTCAGATTACAAAAAGGTAAGAAGGAGATGGTTCTTTAAAAGAACCTTTGACTGAATGGTTCTTTGTGGAACCAAAAATGGTTCTTCTATGGCATCGCTTGAAGAACCTTTTGAAGCACCTTTATTTTTAAGAGTGTAGCACAGCAAACAGTATTTTAGCATGATATTCCATGCTAAAATACTGTAAACAAGTGTGTGAACCAAAAACATAACCAAATATCAGTTTTTGTCTTGATGAAACTAGTTCTGAATAAGAACGGTTCTCGGCCTTACTAGTGTGTATAAGGTGTATCTTGTGTGACCGTACTCACCAGTAATTGATACGGATGTTCGCTGGTCAATGTGATGGTGAACCCATTCACAGTCACATTGACCATCTTGGTGAAGCTCACTGCGCTGCTCCAACGATGATCATTCTGAATGGTCACATTAAAAGGTACCAGACCATCTTTATCAATGCATAGGGCTGCCAACTGATTCACACATGTGCCCTGGAAGTCAAAATGGAGTCCGTCGAATGTGCTGTAATGTGGGTCTCCTGCCGCTACACATACGGCGGCACTCATTGCATGACAGCCACGACTTCCATTAATGACCAAGCAGCTCTCATCAGGGGCACAAGACGATTCATGACACACAACAGCCAAACTTTGGTCACATTTGCAAAGCTGATGACACTTTTCATCAGCCCAGAAAGTTTGGCCTTGTTGGTAGTAAGCGCTTTCATAGAAGCAGCCACATTGATTGGTGGGCACACAAGTGCCAGCGCTGAGGACAAATCCGCTGTCACACACACAGGATTCCACACAGGTATCTGTGCAATTTAGCTGCTGATTTGGGTACGGACACGTCGCTGGACACTGAGGCGCACAGGCCTCATAATGACTGTTGGGCAGGCAGCTCATAGCTGTTGAAGAACAAGAAGAGGTTCATGGTTAAATTTAAGGAAACAAACGTGCACTATGAGCATTTCAAACTTACAGCAATTGAATATCCCTCTCCAATCTGTAATGACGACACCCTCTTGATGACACAGATCGACATAAGTCTCCAGAGCCTGACAGAGAAGTCGTCGGTCTCCGTTATTGAAGCACAGATCATACACACAGCTTTGCTGGAACGCCTGTGGGTTCACTTTAACATGACATGCACTAAAGACACTCTGGCCTGTTGATGTCAGGACACCACAGAAAGCGTCCGTTTCATAGAGGGCATGTAGGTCACGAGAGCAAATTGGGCAATCGGTCTCACAGCCATCGTGACATGAAGATGTGACATGGTCTTCTGCTCTCCAGCTCTTTGCCCACTGGTACAGACTTGGCAGAAGGTTTCCAGAAGGGTCTCTTTGCTCATCTTCACCATTACCGTTGAAATTTCCACACAGGCCACACACAACTCCATAGTAACTGCTGGGCAGATGCAGGTGAACCCTTGAGTTCCAGTTGAAAGAGACACGCAGACCAAAGTCGGTTTCCAACAGAGCAGCATTGCCACTCTGTCGCACCCTCACACGGCCATCATGAAGTTCAAATGGAAGATAAAACCGTAAACCATCCACCTGACACAGGAAAGTCAGAATCATTAACACGAGGCTGTTTAAATGGAAATGTCTGATTCAAGTGCAGGAATACATTTTCAGATATGAAAAAGTCCCAAAACAGAAATTACAATTGGGCAAAATATATTTGAAACATCATAAATACTTGGCAAAAAAACTTTGCAAATTGGTTTTGTATAAAATGTATTACAGGGACAAAAGTCGTCAAAATATTGATAAAAGCAACCATTTTCAATTCTTGCTGAAACATGTTTAAAATATTTGACAATGTTATACTTAAAAAAATAAAAAATAAAATAAAAGCACTCATTCTTAAACACTCAATACACTTGCATAAAAATACTTTTCCAAACAAAAGTGATGAAGTGAGAATCTTTACAATATTAGTGAAAACCTCTGTAAATTAAGTGACTCATTACCATGATCTGTCCCATCTGGTGCTTCACTAAGGTTAGAGTTTGGCCATATACAGTAACTTCCACCTCTCGCACATAAGACACATCAGGGTTGCCACGGTTTTCATTGCTCTGTGTTACTGAGAAGGGCACCAGTCCACTCAGATTCCCAAAGGTCTTAGACAAGACATATCTGCAGGTGCCCTGGAAGTCATATTTGTAGCCATCAAAGGTGTGGTAGTGTGGATCACCCCATGCCAAGCACCCCATGCTGCTGTACAGGGGCACACACACAGCCTTGCCACGTTCAAAGCGGCATGTCTCTTTCTCACGACAGTGGAGGTCTCGACAAGGATCTGTAAACAGAAACAGCGAGAAGAAACGGAACAAAATTTCCCATTTAATAATAGACCAAAGCAACACCCTTTGCCTTCAGTAACATCTTACCATCACAGGTAAGTCCCTTCCCAGGATCACACCGACACATTTGCTTATAGTTGCCCAGGTAAACCACCTCTCCAGCCTGAAAACACAATGTGAGAATGCAAAGCAATGCAGATGGACACTCACAGAAAAGCCAAGATGCGTGCACACCCAAAGTCCCTACAGTAAACGCAAAGCCATCACTCCACCTTATACGTGTGTCCCTGATCATAGCACCCACACTGCTGGTGTTCAACGCATTGCTGGCCATCAAAAAGATAACCATTATCACAAGTGCAGCCCTCTGCGCAGGTTTTGGAACACTGGACTATAGCAGTCAGACCAGGGCAGGCAGCAGAGCAGACGTCTGAGCACAGCTCATAATGACTGTGAGCGGGACATGACATTGCTGGAATACAGTGAAGAAAAAAAAAAAACAGACAGTCACTTAAGTTTCAGAGAGTGATAGTTAATTATCACTAAATATCTAAACACTTACGGCAAAAAGAGTCTGTCCTCCAGTTTTGGATACCGACCCCAGCTGTGTGGCAACTAAAAGCATATCTCGCCAGACTGTCACAAACCACCTTGCTGTTGCCGTCAGAAGCACAAGCATCAAAGACACAATCATTCAGATAAGCAGAACTGTTCACCACAGTATGACAGGCGGCAAACGGCCCGTTAGGGTCAACCAGAACTCCGCAGTAGGGAGGCTTCTCAAAGACGGCTTTCAGTCGAGGATTACAGTCCAGACATGCGTCGCCTTCACATCCTTCCTCACACACCACTCCGGGGACATGCACTTTCCAGGCTCTCCTGAATATATTCACATCCTGTGTAACATTGCCGTCTGGCAGCCTGAAGTCATTGGAAGGGTCTCCGTCAAAGTTGCCGCAGAGTCCACCGGTTTTGCGGCGGTAGTTGCCGGGGATGGTAACAGTGACATAGTAAGACAGGTCATAGGTTACTTTGAGACCAAAGCCAGTCTTGATGACATAGTTAACACCGTCCTTATAGGCCTGGACCAAGGAGCCATTTAAACTGTTTGAACTGTATGGAAGATTAGTCAGAACCCCATTGATCTGTGGGAATGGTGTCGTGTTAGGGTCATACAAATTATTCAACAATTAAAAAAAAAAAAAAAAGTGGAATTAATAAATTGCATATCAGGCATTATGGAAGCTTCATTGAAGAAAAAAAATGCAGACAAACCAGCACTAACCAAGATCTGGGGCTCGTTTTGCCTTAAGATGATGGTGCTGCCGTAGACTGTTAAAGCCACTTGCTTGGTAACCGAGACTTTTTGATAACTATTGGGCCACCATCTCTCATTCTCCACCTGGATGGAGAAAGGGGTCAGGTTGGTCCATTCCAGGCCAAAGGTTTGGGACAGAATGTAGGTACAGGTGCCTTGAAAATCAAAGCGCATCCCATCAAAGGACACATAGTGTGGGTCTCCAGAAGCTTCACAAATGGCCTGCCCAATTGGCTGGCATCTGCGAACGCCGTCCATCAACTCACACTTCTCATAGGGGCCACAAGACAATTTATTACAGACCACCTGTGGAAAGAAAAGCATTGTATTAAACTTCAGTAACTAGTATCAAGAAATGAAGCAGTCATCAGAAGGCTATTACACAATTAGAAAATTCAATACTAAAAATAAATAAATAAAAAACAAACAAACAAAAACAATTGGCATATTTACCATTGGCCACAAGTCAATTTTTTTTTTTTTTTTTTTTTTTTTTTTTTAAACAGTTAGAAACAGAACAGACTGAACTCATTTCAAAAGAGCAATGAAATACAATTCTCATATGACTGAGAAACTCAGAAATCAGTCATATGAGACCAATTCCTTAAAGGGATCATGTGATGCCATTTTCAAAGCTCATTATTTTTGTGTACTGGGTGTAATAGAATAGCATCAACACTACAGCGATACCCGAATGGGTGATAAAAGGGGGGGGGGGGGGGGGGGGGTTGCCCCCCCCCACATTTTTTGTCAGGGAAACCCCCCCCCCCCCCCCAAATTGTTAGTCATGGAATCCCTGATGTCACCCCGCTTCAGCCAAATGCCGAATACCCTCAACGTGTTTTTGCAGCGTTGAGCAACGGAACCAATCGCAGACATCTGTTGATTTCTTGACCGCAATGGCCAATCAGAAACGCTTTGTCAGAATTCACTCACCGCTGAAGGCGCCGCAGTTTTTAAGTGCAGTTTTGCAAGCTCGTGAATCATCTCATGACTAGTGCAGACACAATGTAAATAAGAGTCATTGTGCAGTTTAGAGAGCTTCGTTGATTATAATGTAACTTTGTAAGATTGCCATGAACAAAGATGAGTGATGCTTTTTAGTGATAAAGGGAGCAAGCTTTGGCCACTTTTTAGGGTATAATCCATTCAGAATTAGTATGAAACTTGTTTTTCGGACACATAGGCTACACCATGCAAAGTTTCGGGAAAGACATCTGTATATTTATGCTGGATTCACTCTTGAAATAGCAGTGATTGGCAAAGGATGGAACATAAAATATGGTGATTTAATTCTGGAACCGGTCCTGGCCAAACCTCCACAGACAGCATGCGTCCCGAGCAAGATCTAATCCACGGACCAAAAGAGTGTGTAAACTTTGAGATCGGGACATATCAACCAGTAATTTCATTTAATTTCCAGTAACGGACGGTAGAAAGTTGAGCAATGAATGTATAATCCATTCAGAATTTGTATGAAACTTTCGTTTTTCGGACACAGGCTACACTCTGCAAAGTTTCGGGAATGACACCCGCATATTTATGCGGGATTCACTCTCAAAATAGCAGTGATTGGCAATGGACGGAACATAAAATATGTTAAATTCTGGAACCGGTCCTGGCCAAACCTCCACAGACAGCATGCGTCCCGAGCAAGATCTAATCCACGGACCAAAAGAGTGTGTAAACTTTGAGATCGGGACATATCAACCAGTAATTTCATTTAATTTCCAGTAACGGACGGTAGAAAGTTGAGCAATGAATGGTATGCGATTTATGACCGAATATAGTCACACAACTGATCGTTTATTTTTTCCTCACGTGTCTGGCCTTTGGTAACGATTCAAAAACTGAAACATTTCAAGTGACAAATGGCACACCCTTCAAGTCAGCAGCAAGAGCCAAAGCTAGTTCAGTTTACTAAATGGTGGCAACCTCCAAGTTATTCATGACTGTGTTGGATTGACTGCTTTGATGCGTTGCAATACGGTAGGGCATTGTTTTGATGCTTGCATCCGAGAAAAGTTTTCATTTCATTTATATATATTTTTTTTTTTCTTGCCCCCCCCCCCCCCCGACTCAAATGCCGCTCATATGCCTGAAACCATGCCTTCTGTGTGTATCCATTTGGGTAGTATTATGCAACTATTTCCACAGTGACGTAGATATGTGAGGGAAAATTTAATAAAGGCGTTTTCTTCTTTTAGATAGAAAAAATCCTTTTGTGGGAGACTTTGAGCTTTGTAACTTTGCAGATCTCTACATGCACAAACAGCTAGAAAAAAAAAACACTAAAGGAAAAGAAAAACAAGAAAAATGCATCATATGACCCCTTTAAAACAAGCACACATCAAATTCAACTCTAAAACCGAAGTACAGCCTCAGTTTAGTGCGTCTTCATACCTGGCCATCTGGTAAACAAGTGCACACCTGCTCACAGTTACTGTCAGGATAGAACTGTTGGTAAAGCAAGTAGTAGCGGTTGCCATAGAGACACCCACACTGAGAGAAGGGGACGCAGCGGTCCCCACTCCTGATGTAGCTCTCGTCACACACACAGCCCTCCATACAGGGGCTACGACAGCCAGTGGGAGGAGCCAAACTATGACAGGTGACTTCACAACCAGAGCCACAGAGCTCATAGTGGCTGTGGACAGGACACTGAACACCTGACAAAACAAAAGACATGTGATGGGTTAAGTCCTGAATCGAATTCTAAAAACAATTAAAGCTGCAAGCAGCAAATTTGGGGCAGATTGGACACTGCATGCCTGAGTTACATCACCTTCCTGTTTCACTGGATTAATAGCATGCTTTAATACTTAGCTAAGTGTTGCTAGCAAGTTTTAGTATGTTTCTAGCATGTTGCCAGCCTGTTTAACACTTGTTGACGCTTTTTAATATGTTCCTAGGAGTCCATAATAGTGTTAAGCATGTCACTTCCTATTGCCAGCAGGCGGCGCTACGACTATAACCGAATACGGGCAGGTAGATGTGTTCAGGCCAGGACTCTAATCAAACGTGTGAAGTTTGGGGCAGATTGGACACCGCTTGCCTGAGTTACAAAAACTTCCTCTTTCACTGAATAAATATCATGCTTTAGCACTTAGCTAAGTGTTGCTAGCATGTTTCTAGCATGTTGCCAGCCTATGTAACAGCTGCTGACGCTTTTTAATATTTTCCTAGGAGTCCATAACAGTGTTAAGTATGTAACTTCCTGTTGCCAGCAGGTGGCGCTATGGGAATAATGTAATTTGGGCATGGGTATTTGTTCAGGACATAACACCCATCAAACGTGTGACATTTGGGGCAGATTGGACACTGCGTGCCTGAGTTACAGTAACTTCCTCTTTCACTGCATTAATATCATGCTTTAGCACTTAGCTAAGTGTTGCTAGCATGTTGCCAGCCTATTTAACACTTGCTGACACTTTTTAATATGTTCCTAGGAGTCGATAACAGTGTTAAGCATGTCACTTCCTGTTACCAGCAGGTGGTGCTATGACTAACTGAATATGGGCATGTAGATCTGTTCAGGTCAGGAGTCTTATCCCACATGTGAAGTTTGAGGAAGATCGGACATTTTATGCCCGAGTTACAAAAACTTTTATTCCCATGGCGAGACATCGAACTTTGTCACGGCGCCATTGACACATCCTTTAACGAAAACTCAAGATCTTCACAAATTCACATCGCAAAGGCCTTTAGATTAGTCTGACCAAAAAAAAATGTTGATGTCATTAAATTTCTAGGAGTAGTTCGTTACAGCGTAAAACATGACACTTCCTGTTGCCAGCAGGTGGCGCTATGAGTATAACTGAATTTCTGCATGGGTATTTGTTCAGGACTTAACACCTATCAAACATGTGAAGTTTGAGGCAGATTGGACATTGTATGCACGAGTTACAACAACTTCCGGTTTGGTGTTAATAGCATGCTTTAGCACTTAGCTAAGTGTTGCTAGCATGTTTGAGCACATTTCTATTATCTTTAGCACACAATGGCATATTTTACTGTGTTGCTAATAGTGCAGCACAGTGTTAAACATGTCACTTCCTGTTGCCAATAGGTGGCGCTATGACTAAAAGTGAATCTCTGCATGTAGATGTGTTCAGGCCAGGACAGTCATCAAACAAGTTAAGTTTTGGGCAGATTGGAAACTGCATGACTGAGATGTAAACTTCCTGTTTCACTGCATTAATAGCATGCTTTAACACTTAGCTACATGTTGCTAGCATGTTTTTTCATGTTTATAGCATGTTGCCAGCCTATGCAACACTTCCTGACGCTTTTTAATATGTTGCTAGAAGTCCATAACAGTTTTAAGCATGTCACTTCCTGTTGCCAGCAGGTGGCGCTATGTCTATAATGGAAAACGGGCACGTAGATGTGTTCAGGACAGGACTCTTATCAGAATTGTTAAATTTGGGGCAGATTGGACACTGCATGCCTGAGTTACAGTAACTGGTTTCACTGCATTAATAGCATGCTTTAGCACTTAGCTAAGTGTTGCTAGCTTGTTTTAATATGTTTCTAGCATGTTGCTAGCCTATTTAACACTTGCTGACACTTTTTAATACGTTCCTAGGAGTCCATAGCAGTGTTAAGCATGTGACTTCCTGTTTCCAGCAGGTGGTGCTATGACTATAACTGAATATGGGCATGGGTATTTGTTCAGGACATAACACCTATCAAACGTGTGAAGTTTGGGGCAGATCAGACCTTGCTTGCCTGAGTTACAGCAACTTCCTGTTTCTTGGCGAAACATCAAACTTTGTCAGGCCGCCAGGGACACGCCCCTTGACGAAAACTCAATCTTCGCAATTTAACGTCACAAAGGCCTTATGATGACCCTCACCAAATTTGAAGATGATCCGATTAAAACTGTAGGAGTTCGTCAAAGTACGAGGCCTGGAAATGTCAAAAAATGCACAAATTGTACAGTAAATTCAAAATAACGTACATCCTGTTGGGTTTTGTACCAAGAGACTTTTTTGTAGGTAATGGTGTTACGTATGTGTACATGTACGTGAAACGTAGCTCGAGGGGCACTTCGTTGAAATATTATAGGTGGCGCTATCGAGCCATTTTGGCACACCCAATTCTGAAACCCATATCAGATGTAAATTTTCACCAGTTCTGATGCGTGTGCAAAGTTTCATGAGTTTTGGAGCATGTTTAGGCCCTCAAAAATGCGATTCACTTTGAAGAACAAGCGGAAGAATAATAAGAAACTGAGCAATTCCAATAGGGTCCTCACATCATCGGTGCTCGGGCCCTAATTAAGAGGTCAAGCAAGAACTAGTAGAAATGCAACTATGAACTCTGGTAATCAATGGTGGGCTTGATTGGGGTTAATCAAATTGGGGTCCACAGAAAAATTAAAAGGGGGGAAAAATATAAATCTAGGCAATTTACAAGTTCTCAAATCATGTGATGCATCCCAATGATTTCTTTCTACTGCAGGCCATATTTTTAAATAGGTCTTCATATATGAAAATATTAGTATACTACTATAAATAGTTTTTGGGGGCAAGCTGTAGCAAGTCTGAAAACACCTAGTCTAGATTGCATGTCAGGTTTGATTTTGAACTCAACACCCTTATGCAGAATTAACTAACATTTAAAAACAATTAAAAACAAAGATTCTAAGGATAGAAGGGTGCTATAATCTTTGTTTTTGTGCTCCGCTTTATATTTCTTAAAGGGATAGTTCACCCAAAAATGAAATTTGAGGTTTATTTGCTTACCACCAGGGTATCAAAGATGTAGGGGACTTTGTTTCTTCAGTAGAACACAAACGAAGATTAACTGAAACCGTTGCAGTCTGTCAGTCTTATAAATGGAAGTGAATGGGAATCACGGCTTTGAGAGTTAAAACCCCCCAACCCCCCCACACAACAAAAAAAACTAATTAAACCCTGCGGCTCATGACAATACATTGACGTGCAAAGACAAAACAATCGGTCGGTGCAAGAAACTGAGCAGTATTCATATTGTTTTTTTTACCTCTGATGCACTGCAATGTCTGAACTGTCCGGAGCGCTTCCTCGATAGCCAGCGCGTGACGCGTCTTCTTGCTTTACAGTGGATTGCAGACTTGTAAGTGCATTACCACCATCCATCTCTCAAATGGACCATTGACACTCCTAATTGAGATTGTAGATAGAGTGTCAATGGTCCATTTGAGAGATAGGTGGCGGTAATGCACAGACCGATCGTTTCGTGTCTTTACATATCAATGTATCGTCACAAGCCGCAGGGTTTAATTTGGTTTTGTTAGTGTATGTTGTTTTTTTTACTCTCAAAGCCGTGATACCTGTTCATTTCCATTATGTGACTGACAGACTGCAACGTTTGAGTTACAAATCTTCATTGGTTTTCTACTGAATAAATGGTCACCTACATCTTGGATGCCCTGGGGGTAAGCAGATAACCATAATTTTAATTTTTGGTTGAATATCACTTTAAGGACTTTGTAGAAATAAATGGAACAAGAGGGTCTTGAAAGTTTACCACTACTCCTATAAAACCTCTTAAATATGGACAAAATATCGCTTTGTAGCCTATACGGTTTCTCAAAAAGGTATAGGTAAAATTTTCCCCAGGTTTCTCACCACAAAATTCAGCAGTTCTCCAGGGGCTGATGGTCCTTCCCATTGCCTGACAGGCATATACATATGCCGTTATGGCCTGGCATAATAGATCTCTCCTTCCATTATACAAACAGACATCATAAACGCAATCCTCAAAAACCTGAGCAGGGTTCAGCACAGTTTGACAGTCCTTGAAAGGCCCCTCTGGGTCACGCAGCACCCCACAGAAATCAGACGTCTCATAGACACTCCTTCTGGTCGGGTCACAATCCGGACAACTCTCTGTGCAGCCATGGACACAGTCTGGGATCTCGGCTACACTCCAGCTGGCACCAAACTCCAACGATCCTGAAGCAGGTAATGCCGTTCCTCTGACAGTCAGATCATCTTCTGGATTTCCATTGTAGTTCCCACAGAGGCCACAGATGGCACCCATGTAGGTGCTGGGGACGGTGACGGTTGCAAAGCTGTTCCAATCAAACGTGACTTTGAGACCAAAAGAGGTTTGAACGACAGCAGACCAGCCACTTCTGAAAACAGAAATCTGACCTTCAAAAAGATTGAGGGGAAGGTTCAACAGCTCACCATTGACCTGAAAAAGAAAGTAATTTTGATTAATGAAATAACTTATGGAAAGCTATATAGAAAGACTAAATAGTTTGCTAGATGTTTAAAGCATGCAACTAGAACTTACGGTAACAAAACTACTGTATTCTCTATCAATGACAATGGTGGTATTGTACACTCTGATCTCCAGTAATTTAGTGAATGACACCACTTTGCTTCCCCGGAAGTCATTTTGCACCAGCACATCAAAGGGCACCAGTCCAGGATCGGAGACATTAAGCCCAACCAACTGATACACACAGTTACCCTGAAGGGAGAAAATAATATTGTTCACGAAAGCTACTCATCCAGACACATGGAATTATCTACAAAACAAATTAAAAAAAAAAGGCCCTACCCCTTTATTTTAGTGTATTATAGCATATACAGTACATATTTCACTTTTGTTTTCAGTTTAATTATACTTCCATTTTAATTAAAGTTTTAGTAACAGTGCTTGTCAATTACTACTTTATATTTATACTTCAATATTTAGGGTGTTTTCACACATGGCCTGTTGTTTCGGAACCTGGCGCGTTTCCCCCCTTAGCACGGTTCGTTTGGGCATGTGTGAACACGGCAATCGCACTCGGATCCGCGCCAAAACAATCGGTCCGAGATCGCCCGAACGAGGTGGTCTCGGCTCGATTGAAAACTAACTCTGGAGCGGTTCGGTTGTAGTGAGAAAGCAATCCGATCCAACGGACCAGGCTATATCACAATGTATAATGGGTAATTACATACGTTTCGTGAAAAGGATTAGCTTTGTTGTTTTGCTAATACCTCAAAATGAACCTGTGAATGTCGGTGGGAGAGCACGTCTTTGCCATTCAAAAATTAAAGCGCACTTTGTTTTATAATGCCGTCTTATTGCTCTTTGTAGTGTGCATTTTAAAAATGTTTTCCCAATCAATCCTGGACTCCTGCTCATAATGATAAATTAACGACAGCTACAAAAAAAAACAAAAAAAAAAACCCAATAAGCCCGCAAAGCTGATATTGTTCCATTCTGACAGATGACAGCTCAGTGGAATCCCAGAAAATAAACCGTGGGACTTTGACCAATGAGAGAACAGTTTACTCGCGCATGACTTGTATTAACAAATTTGGTCCGTTTAGAAACTTTGCTGTGTGAAGCGAACCGCACCAAGAATAAAAAGCAACATTGTAATCATTTGAATCCCTGTTTTGGAACAAAGCAATCGATCTACAGGTGTGAAAACACCCTTAGTAATTAGTGCAAGTAATTTCCTGGTAATAAATAACTAAAAATAAACTAAAATTGAAATAAAACCATTTTAATTTAAGTTTGATTTAACATTTATTTGTAGCTTAATTTAAACAGCAAGGTTTTAGTTACCATTAAGCGTTTAAAAGTGACAGTTCTCATGCCAATAGAATAGTACCTGGAAGTCGAAATGATTCCCGTCAAAGGTGTAGTAGTGGGGGTCGCCCAGTGCCATACAGGTGCTTTGAGAGACGGGATAACAATCCCTAATGCCATTCTCCACCTGGCAGTGCTGTCTTGTCCCACAGCCTCCATCCTGGCATTCTAGATGTCCACCCTCCTTGGAGCAACGACAAAGCCGCTGACAAGCATCATCCGCCCAGAAAGTCTCACCAGCGGGAATGTAGTGTCCATTGTAGGAACAGCCACATTGGGCTGAAGGTACACATTTAGATCCACTCAGAACAAAACCTGGGTCACAAGCGCATGTTTCGACACAGGGTAATGTGCAGTTCACAGGAGACCCGAGGCCCATGCAGGTCAAAGGGCAAGCGCTACCACAAAACTCATAATGGCTGTTCTCTGGGCATCTGTAAGCTGAAGACATTCAGAGAGTGGGGGTGTCATGATCTTGAACAAAGATATCAAGTATGCTGGACAACTATCTGTAAAACTACTCACAACAATTGGCTGCTTCTCTCCAGTTGGTTAGCTGTATCCCAACATGTTGACATGCACTTGCATAGACCTCGAACACCTTACATAAGTAGCTTCTCTGCCCTTCTGTCATACAAACATCATACATGCAGTTCTGGATGTAAATACGTGGCTCAATAACAGAATGACACTGACTGAATGGTGCCATTATTAAGAGTCCACAGTACTTTTCACCCTGCCATTGCTTAAGTGATTCAGCATCACATCCAAGGTTCCAACCATCATTGCTACAGCCCTCATCCAATGTTAAGTTATGAACTTTCCAACTCCGGCCAAATTCTGTTGCACTGTCAGCCTGGGTGTTCGAAGGCATAGTGAAATCATCCTTAGGATCACCATTGAAGTTGCCACAGAGTCCAGAGACCTGGTCCATGAAGACAGTGGGCAGGGAGACCATGAGATAGTGGTCCCAGTCATACTGCACACTCAGCCCAAAAGAAAACAGGATGGTGATGAAGCTGCCGGACTGGAACATGGACACCCCAACATCATCAAGAACCACAGGAAGGCTCCACACACTCCGGTCAATCTGCACAAACCATATTAACTTACTTAACATAGAATAATTGTCAATTAGTCACTCTAAACTGTAAAAACCCAAAGTATAACATTTGTTTTCAGAAAATATACATTTCATAAATCTGTGAAATCTAGATTAAACTCTACATACTTAAAATATTGATACAATATTGTTTATAAACCTCTTTAACAACTTCACATTAGATTAATTGAAACAAGGGGGAAAATGGCCAATGATTAAGTAGTGAGTAGAGTAATTGTTATAAAAAGGACATACAATGATAAATTATAATGAATGTCTTGATATGCAAGGCTTAAGATGTTAAAATATTTTAAGACAAAACTATCAATACTCAAAGCATGGGAGGGGAGGGAAGGGAAGTAAAGAAAAAAAAAAAAAAAAAAAAAAAAAAAAAAAAAAAAAAAAAAAAAGTTTACCTTGACTTTCCCAGGCTGACAACTCTCAATGCTGATGATGATACCACCAAAATTCACAATTACATGTGCCACGTAAGAGACTCTTGTGTCACCACGGTTTTCATTCTTAGCCAGGACCTCAAAAGCTGGAAGACTGTCATTTTCCTGCAAGTTCCTGGTGACAACATATGTGCAAGTGCCCATGAAGTCAAAGTAACGCTGGTCAAATGTGCAGTAGTGAGGGTCGCCCATTGCCCAACAGATTCCGTTTGGCTTCTTCACACAGGTGGGGTAGGGACCCTTCATCTGGCACTCCTCATCCTCACTACAGATGATGTTGAAGCAAGTGTTAGGTGTTGGCACATCTACAGAAAAAACAACCAGAAGGTACACGTTATTTATGCAGCATAAATTAGTCATTCAAGTAGTGTATATGTTTTTAAGCTCAGAAAGCACACTTAATTTAAATTAAGGTGTCTCAGTAATTTTAAAACACTTATGCATGCACTAGAAAATGATTAATTGATTTGCAAATGCTTCTAAGGCTGTATTTTAAAATTATATTTTGTTGTTTGTTATACATGTATCTGTATAACTAGGCCACCTATTTTAGGCAGGACACTCCTGTAAAAAAATATTTTTAATCTCAGTGAGGGTCTCACCTGGTTAAATAGGCATAATAATAATAATAATAATAATAATAATAATAATAATAATAAAAAAAAAATCAAGAACATTGTCTTTTGAGAAATTCATTATGAAACTATGTGATGAATTTTGTTTAAAAAAAAAACAAACACAACACACAACTCATTCATTCCTATTGCGCAAACAACAGAGCTTCCTTGAGTTGCCAAAATCATGGATTTGATTCCTGGGGAATGCAAGAACTGATAGAAATGCGCATACGCCTATATATATTCCTTAAATGCTAAGTCGCTTTGGATAAAAGCATCTGCCACATACATAAGTGTAAATGAATCTGGCTAGATTACACCATCAACACATGTATGCTGATGATTTTATTCTTTTTTTTTTTTAAACCGAAGGGAAAAAATGTTTTTATTGACATACCTTGATCGGTGCATTGGGCTGGAGCTCCATATCCATTCACTTGCATTACACCCACACTGTACACCACAAAGGAAGCGTTTGGATGGCTTACTTCGTGTCTGTATGCATCAGCTGGGTAAACCAGTTCAGTCCAGGAGTAGTCGCTGCCATTGATAACCCTCCATTGAACACTCCCGGGAAAAGACAAAATAATCCCCATTTTTTCATTAGTAGGAACAATCAGGAGAGCTCGGTTGTCAAATCCAGCTACCCAGTCAAGGGTGTATGAAGAACAGAAATGTTTCTTGGGCAGCAGATTTAACAGAAATGGGCCGTATGTGACACCGTGGGATGTTTGCACACCATTAAACAGAAAAAACACCTGAATTCCATTGTCAGCAATGATGTTAAGGCCATTTGGAAACTGGATTTTGTACTCTAGAACCTGACCACGCTGAAGAACGTCAGTTAATGTAGTACAGCCGAATTGAGTGGTTATATTAGTTGACTGTGATGCTTGGATATAGATGCTGTCGAACTGGCTCTGAATGCTAAATGGAGCAACCGGGAAGTGAGTTCCCCAGCTTTGGACCGGCAGGAGTTGCTCATAAACGTGATTGCACTTAGAAAAGCACCACGTGCACATGTGGCCCGAGTACACGGCAATGGGAAGTTTTGAGGATACGCTGGTTCCTGTGAGGTCTCCTTGGCTTTGAATTTGTGCATTTTCGAAAGGGTCCAGGACTACAACTAGTTTACTGCCGACACCGTATGAGTGACCTTCGAACCGGACCGCCGCTTTAAGGAACACTTCCACAGTGTTCTGCTTTTTACTGTTGACAAGCACAAACTCCTTCAGCATGGATGGAGGGGAGTTGGTGGGGGTGAACACAAAATATTCAGTACCCCATTCACTCAAGGGGTAGACCAGGGATGTGTCTGCCGTGTGTTCTTTTGAGTTGAGTGAGAAAACCGTTATGTCATCAGATGCCTGAATGAGGACAGTTTTGGGGGACCTCCTGGTGCCATACAGCTCGACCTGTACGGGGAGGGTCACAGTGAAGCCCTGACCTGCAGTCAGTTGCACCCCCTGGGTAAAACTGAGACTGGGCACGCGGACTTTGACTTGACAATTAGAATTCACAGAGGTGATATAAAGCTGAAAAAGTGACTGGTTCAAAGGGGAAACATAGTTTTGCATGAACACAGTGGCAAACTCTCGTCCTTCAGATCGAGACTGGGCACCATCTTCAGGAAGTCAAGAGAGAGAAAGAAAATTAATTGCAAATAAACAAATATAGATGCAGTTGCACTTTTCAAATCTTTATAATAAATTTAATTAACTAATGTTTAATTTATACCACTTGCATTATTTCTCAAAATACCCCCCCCATTTACATTAAAGCTATTGTCATATTTTAAATAATTGCATAAAAACAACACTCCAAAATATAAAAGTTGAATTTTTCAAATCTTTATATTGGAAACTAACTAACGTTCAATTTAAATAATTAGCAAAAATACGTGTTTATTAAGCTACTTTAATGTTAAAAAAAGTAGTCCAATAGATGAGTCTTCCCCCACAACAGAAACATAACAAAACAAGCCAGTAAAAGTTTTACTTCCATGACAAGCTGCAAATGAGTGTCTTGAATAAGAACACATTTAAACGTACAAAAAAACAAACAAAGTGGGTATCATTAACTAAAGACTACACCTATGCAACTTATTTGTCTTTATACGCTGAGGAGAACTTCGCTCGAAAAAAATCCCATCTAAATCACAACACGTGTGTATTAAGTACGTAATTTGCTCTTGACCCCGTTCTATTAATGCTTTTTGAGTATTCTAAATGAGCGACCGGGTGCCTGAGGTAAGTAATTAGTATAAAACACGCCCAAACCACCTCCATAAGAGCTTTCGTCACAGTGGGAACGTTTGACGCGCACTGTTGCAAGTCTATTCAGGATCATGACCTGGGGTTTTCCCC